GGTCCCTTTTTTCCTTTAAATATGTTTGTCTAAGACCTGTCATCTGTATTTTTTTTTTTTTATTCCTTTTCTTTACTAATTGTGTGGGTTTTTTGGACTGGTGGTGCAAAGGCTTTAGGTTCCGGATGGGAGCATGTGGTAGTGTTTAGTTTCATGATGCCCCAAATTTTATAGTTGTCTTGTGGAAGATATCACATGGAATGGCACCAGGGAGGCGAGCACGGGCCAGTAAACAGACTGCACTGTCCAAGCGTTGGAGAACTCTTGTTATCTCTGAGCTTCCCGTGGGCATACCTCAGTCCAAACTCTACAGAGGGGGCTTAACAAAGATGCCAAGTCAACTGTAATAAGCCAAAGCTGCTTCTTTTCGAGCACTTCATGCCATTTCGTTTTCTCTATCAGTCTGGTGACTCCTTTTGGCACGGACAAAACCCAACTCCTCCTCAGTTAAAGGAATGAGTAACAGTTAAAACCACTAGAGACTTTCCGTCATGTGCTTATTTTGGCTTTAGGAAATCTTTCATGTGTTGGTTTTAAACACAACTTTAAGTTGTGTTTAAGACCTCCAAAAGTCTGTAATCCCTGTAACTTGATATATTACCACAATATCACAGATAAGCCAATTTAGTCAATTTGATATGCATCATTTTCTATTTGAGAAGAGACACTGTTTTTTGCACATGTATTGACAGTTTCTTTTGTTTTTTACTGGATTACGTTTTTTAGCAGCCCAGTGTGAAGGGGCTGGGATGAGAACGAGCACCTCCAAAAACTGAGGCCATGGTGCTCGACCAGAAAAAGGTTCCTTGCCCTCCCCAATTGGGTGGAGGCCCTTCCTCAAGTGGAGGAGTTCGAGTATCTTGGGGTCTTGTTAGGGCTAGCTGTATCGGACCGTTGTGGTGAAAGCTTTCGATTTATTGGCAGATTCTCCGTTCCCTCCCTCACCTCTGGTCATGAGATTTGGGTTATTACCGGCCGAAATGAGCTTCCTCCGCAGAGTGGCTTGGCACTCCCTTAGAGAAAGGGTGAGGAGCTGAGTCACAAGGGAGGAGCTCGGAGTAGAGCCACTGCTTCTCCACGTCGAGAGGAACCAGTTGAAGTTGCTCGGGTATCTGTTCTGGAGGCCACCTGGACGTTCCAGGACACTCCAGGACGTTCCAGGCACCGCTCAGCTGGCCAGGGAACACCTTGGGGTCCCCCCCCCAGATTGAGCTTGAGAAAGTGTGTTTGGATAGGGAAGTCTGGGCGTCTCTCCTTAGACTGCTGCCCCCGGGGGAAAATGGATGGATGGATGTACATTTTTTAGCATTCATTTATAGCTGCAGGTCAAGACCTGTTTTTTTGGTTGAGAAGAGAAAAAGTGCAATTGGAAATACAAATATTTCTTTTGCTAAAAGATTTGAATTTGGGAAATATAGTAGTGTGTTAATTCCTGTCAGGGTTGTCACATGTCATAAACAATTCACGTCTCATTTGAGTTTCTTCTCTATTTGGCAGTCTTTCTATCTTTATTTTCTGAGGGTGAAAAAAGATTCCTGGATTATAGTCATGCTGCCTGCCAACACTGTACACAGTGATCTGATTAGCTCGAAGCTTGCATTAACAAACATGAACTGGCTCATGAGAGATGGTCATGTTTTCATAGTATTACATTTTAGCCACTGGGCGACAAGTGGAACACGTTTATGTACTGGCATGGGCTGATATCAGCTGCTTGTCAAGTTTGCTCTTGGGCAGGTTAAGCTGTGTTGGCATTCAAAGATTCTGCACATTCTTGGAACAAGTGTTCCCATAAGCCGATGATAACTTTTTAGCTAAAAGTTTTGGAGACATATACGAAAGTTGCTTATTTATGTGGGCAGCCATCTGGATGAAATGTGCCACCTATAGTCAAGTCCAGACGCACACCTGGGACTCATAACAAGTGTGGCAGCTCGGAAGTGTGCGAGTCCTCTAGGGTCTATCAGTGGTATGCAGTGCTCAGAGGAGCCATGTGACATGTGGCATAATTGAGTCAGCCAACAGCTCTGCTGAAGTGACTTTATCTGAAGCAGTGTTTCACATTATTAAAGAGGCTGTTTTCTTGTTTAATTTGAGACAACGCTGGTCCTCTGGGGCAAGACCACAGACACACTGATGAATGTGCCCATAGCTCCCCATAGAGAAAGGGGCCAATGCAGAGGAGAAAATTAAGTCAATCCTTTAAATGAACTATTTAATATCAGAGGCAGGCATATTCCCTTCATTGTTTGGTTTGGCCTCTATCTGTGGCTCGCCCTCAGAGAGACCTCATTGTTGCAATGATTTATATTAATTAGCTGTCCAGTTTCTTATACAAGAGCATCACTCTGATACAGATAGAATTTCTCTGTTTTCACTTCTACGAGGATCTGAGTTCACAAACTGAAAATGCTGGTCTCACATATTTGTGAAGGCTCTTACAAACTGTACATAGCTGGATGAATCTAAAATGTCGCCTCCTCATGTTAAGTCTTGATTTTTGGCACCAGCAGGAGGCCAGTCCCTGTGGTTCTCAGAGTCAGTGAAGAGACCTGAGGACTGGACTTATGTGAATTTACTTAATGGTTTTAGTCTGGACTTGAGCTGCAGTGTTTTGAATATACTGCAGCTGTTTTAGAGCTTGTTTGGAGAGACCAGTGAGTAGTACAGTGATAGAACCTACTGGAGACAAAAAGATAATGTCTGCTTATTTCATGTCTGCTTTTTTACTGGAAATGTTTACTACAGGGTAAAAAGCTGCTGGTGTTACTTGATGTGGTTGTAGTCCATTATAACTCCTTTTTTTTGACATAATTTTAAGATTTTAGGGAGAAAGCTTCATGGTCATCTTACAACACTACACACTCTCTATGAGCGGCCACTGATATTAGCTGAATAGTCAAAAGCCCACTGGAGTTATACGCAGACTCATCATTAATAATACTATACAGTATTTTTTCTGACGCTGGCTCACTCCCATGGTCCTTTGGCCTATATCTGATTCAGGCCTATTCAGTAAATGTATATATGCTTATGCCTTCCACCCCTTTGACAAATGATTATACTCTACATTCTGGTGGTAAGGCTCCACTTTAATGCTGTAAACCATAGCAATGGAGGTGTCACGCGCTGACAGCTAAGCAGGAGTCCTCTGTGCTGCTGCTTCTCCAGGCTGCCCAGGAGATGTTGCCTCTTTGATTCTTTCTTCAAACATGCAAGCCAGCACGAGGGGGACAGATTGTTTGTTCTAGATTTCCTGGGAGACTCCCACCTTGGGCTTTAGCAGACTTGTTGTGATTAGATATCTCATGCAGAAAATACTTGAAAGAAAGAAATCTGTTTTTTATGTCTTACTTTTTGGCTTTTGAGGTATTTATAAATGCTTTTTAGCTGTACATTATGCATACTTTGAATTACAGAGGTAAACAGGGACGGAGTAATCAATGTCCACCTTCAGCTATTTCAACATTGTAGCAATTCCAATAGATTTTGTTTTGCTTTTGTTGCATACACAAAAGATCAACTCAGAATAAAGATGAACCTATTCCGACATGTGATGTTCCTCATTGCACCAACTTAATAATACATCCAATATGTTTGTTTTTTGCACCAATTTCCAATTGTGTTCAGTGGGATAACACAGACTACAAAGCTATGTTGATAGAACTACAGGAGGTAACAAAACTATCCCCCCAGAACTCCATCTTTCCACCATCACAGTGACAGACTTTGACCACCACATTAAGTCAATACACTCATTTGTGATTTGTGCAAAATTCACGTCAGCGATTACGGTAATAATGTGTCTTTTAAAAAAAATGAAACAAACAACCACAATTTTAGCCAATTTTATAATTCTAGTAATGAAAAATATTAGAGGTGCAACGGTTCATCAATGATCCGTGATCCGTTCGGTTCAACGTCTTCGGTTTTTATGAAAAAAAAGTTCTGCGCACGTTGTTCAGTCCACACACAGCGTGGTCATGGCAAGCAGAGGAACGGAGGAGCTTGAAAGCCCCGCGTCATTTAAATCCCCAGTATGAGAGCATTTTGGCTTCACTGTAACTACACTGATAATCATTATTCGACAAAACTGTCACGATTTGTAAGCACTGTGGCACAAGAAAGACATGAGTGAAAAAAAAGCGTCTCAACGACCGCTTATTGCCACGGCATTTAAGCAGCTCCTTTACGCACAGTCAGACCGGGCTAAAGTCAACTCTCCCGCGCATCCTCAGCTGCGCTCACGACTGACGCTTGGACGTCCCTCGGAACCTATAATAGATCCATGAGCGGAACGGAGAACTTCATCACCGCAGACTGGGAGATGAGAAGTCTGGTGCTGCAGACACGCCCCCTCTACGACAGTCACACAGTCACACAGCGCAGGTTCTGACACAAGCAGCGGAGGAATGGAAGACAAAGGCCCAGTACTAATATTCCAGTCACAATTGATAATGCCAAAAATTAAATAAATGCAGTGAATGAGGCTGGACTGGGCCCAGAATGGACCGCCTCCTTGGGAGAATCAGGAAGGTGGTTTAATATATGAGGGTAAATATCCTCATAAAGTGCCTTCTCATGTTGCACTTTGTGTTGTTTTTCATTAATGATGTTAAATAGACATAATCGGATGGATGTATTCCATCCATCCATCCATTTCCTTCCCCTTATCCATTTCTAGGTCAGGGGGGGCAGTCAGAGCAGGTGCCGAGTTCACATGAGCTGTGTTTATAAAAAAGACAAAACTTTTTTTTGAAAAATGAACCGAAAAATAAACCGAACGGTGGCCTCTGAACCGAGGTACGAACCGTACCGGGATTTTTTCAAACCGTTACACCCCTAAAAAATATCAATAATTACTCCCGGTTCTTATGAGTTGAGTATTTTTCCTTTAACACATACTCAAGGGTAAAAGGGTAAAAACATACTCATGTTTGTTCATTTATTTTAATTGTGCGTTGCATTTCATTGTTTTTATGCGTGTTGTTCTTTTTCAGTTAAAAAGGACACAAAGGATGAAACCGACGACAGAATGCAACAGTTCAAGAAAAAGGCTAAAGAGCTTCGGATCTTGGATGTCAAAACTGCACAGAATCTTTGTGAGTATTCCATATAGTTTAGACCTTCATATTAAAAAACATGTGTATGCATGTTTGTACGTGTGTATGCATGTACAGTAAGTGCCCCCACCACATGTCAGTGCACTCATACAGCTGTGACACATGTGATAGTTGCCTCAACATCTTTGATTCCATCTTTGACAGATGTTTGGAGTGTGACAGCGAGTAGAGCAAGGTATCAACATGCTACTGATAGAAACTATATGGTTTTGTATGTATTAATGGTAACATTTTCCCTTCTATGATCTGGGATTATCTCTGTTACACTTAATGCACATTTTTTGGAATAATCAATTACAATTGATTATGAACATTGCTCAGTTTAGGACATGTTTATCATGTGAGTGCGAAATAGTGATTAGCGCCTCTTTACATTGGAGGAAACTGATACCCCACAGTCCGTTAGTTAGATTATACATACATAAGCATGCGCAACATACGCATCACTAGCATTAAGACAGGCTTTTATTTATCCATGTCTTTTTGAGCCGCACTTTTCCTTGGATGCTCAATAAAGATTTGTATCCGGATCTACGCTCATCAGCTTTGCGGACAAAACAGGACTCTCAACTTTTAGACATTGACGTGGATGTTCAGAGCGTGCAGCCACATAGCTTCTGGAACTCCTTTTCAGTGGTTGCAGAAGTGCTGCTTTCTCAGTAATGATACACACAACCTGATATGTTTTACTTTTTACGATCTCAGGTGGACCCTGTGCCCCACCCCACATATCTCACTGGTGAACAACTCCTGTGAAAAAAAAGCCTGGCAAACCTTTTTTTGGGTGCTGCGTCTGAAAGCAGAATAGCAACTTGCAAATCCTCTAGATACAGCTTTAAAGAACTTCTCAACCCCGCTCCTCGAGGCTGACATTACTCACATTTTCTTTTCAAATCTCCTTCCAAATGGGCATAGCCTGGAGGACTAAAGGGGACAAGTGGGGGGGTGAATGTTGGGCGGGTCTAAGCTGTGATTGACACTTGACATCAGCATTGGCCATGTCAAAGATGGAGAGTGATCACACACGCCAGCTCTACAGCTGGTCTTAGGAGGTGGAGGACTTCTCTCCACCGTCCTCTCCGGAGGTTGAGAGAGCGGAGGCAGACAGCGGCCTGCTGCCCGCTAGCGGGCACCACCGGGGGAGCCGATGCCGTAGAGGCAGCGGAGGCAGCAGACCGCCACAGAATGGGGCCTGTTTCTGAATGATATAGATTAGAGTGGAATAAAAAGCACAAACTGCTAGTCACAGGTCTTGAAGAGCAATCATGTAGGGATCCAGACCCCGATATGCTAACCTGTCTGAATCGAACCTTTGGCAAGAGTGGCCCTTCCCATATTCCCATACATTAACTCCTTATGTTGCGGTGCTTTGCTTGACAGTTTTGTCTGTACATTTTATTTATGAACCCAGACCAATATGAACTATATTTTGTGGGGTCATATACAGTGACCCTTGAACCTTTCAACATTTCGCCACATTTCAGGCTTCAAACATAAAGATATAAAAATTAAATTTTTCGTCATGAATTAACAACAAGTGGGACACAATCGTGAATTGGAACAAAATTTATTGGATAATTTAAACTTTTTTAATAAATAAAAAACTGAAAAGTAGGGCGTGCAATATTATTCGGCCCCTTTACTTTCAGTGCAGTAAACTCAGTCCAGAAGTTCAGTGAGGATCTTTGAATGATCCAATGTTGTCCTAAATTACTGATGATGATAAATAGAATGCACCTGTGTGTAATCAAGTCTCCGTATAAATGCACCTCCTCTTTGATAGTCTCAGGGTTCTGTTTAAAGCGCAGAGAGAACCATGAAGATAAAGGAACACACCAGGCAGGTCCAAGATACTGTTGTGGAGAAGTTTAAAGCCGGATTTGGATACAAAAAGATTTCCCAAGCTTTAAACATCTCAAGGAGCACTGTGCAAGCAATTATATTGAAATGGAAGAAGTATCAGACTACTGCAAATCTACCAAGACCCGGCCGTCCCTCCAAACTTTCATCTCAAACAAGGAAAAAGACTGATCAGAGATGCAGACAAGAGGCCCATGATCACTCTGGATGAACTGCAGATAACTACAGCTGAGGTGGGAGAGTGTGTCCATAGGACAACAATCAGTCGTGCACTGCACAAATCTGGCCTTTATGGAAGAGTGGCAAGAAGAAAGCCATTTCTCAAAGATATTCATAAAAAGTCTTGTTTAAAGTTTGCCACAAGCTACTGGGAGACACACCAAACATGTGGAAGAAGGTGCTCTGGTCAGATGAAACCAAAATCGAACTTTTTGGCCACAATGCAAAACGATATGTTTGGCGTAAAAGCCACACAGCTCATCACCCTGAACACACCATCCCCACTCTCAAACATGGTGGTGGCAGTATCATGGTTTGGGCCTGCTTTTCTACAGCAGGGACAGGGAAGATGGCTAAAATTGATGAGAAGATGGATGGAGCCAAATACAGGACCATTCTGGAAGAAAACCTGTTGGAGTCAGCAAAAGACCTGAGACTGGGACGGAGATTTATCTTCCAACAGGACAATAATCCAAAACATAAAGCCAAATCTACAATGGAATGGTTCACAAATAGACGTATCCAGGTGTTAGAATGGCCAAGTCAAAGTCCAGACCTGAATCCAATCGAGAATCTGTGGAAAGAGCTGAAGACTGCTGTTCACAAATGCTCTCCATCCAACCTCACTGAGCTCGAGCTGTTTTGCAAGGAAGAATGGGAAAGAATTCCAGTCTCTCGATGTGCAAAACTGATAGAGACATACCCCAAGCGACTTGCAGCTGTAATTGCAGCAAAAGGTGACGCTACAAAGTATTAGCGCAAGGGGGCCGAATAATATTGCACGCCCCACTTTTGTTGGGCGTGTTATTTGTTAAAAAAGTTTAAATTATCCAATAAATTTCGTTCCACTTCACAATTGTGTTCCACTTGTTGTTGATTCTTGACAAAAAAATTTATTTTTATATCTTTATGTTTGAAGCCTGAAATGTGTTGAAATGTTAAAAGGTTCAAGGGGGCCGAATACTTTCGCAAGGCACTGTAGTTATACAATTCTAAACTCTGCCACAATAACCTGCGACCACTGCACCTCCTTGTCCCCAAGGGAAAACTTGAGCTGCATGGAAACCCCGAAGGTATTTTGGATAGAAATGATACCCCAATGTGCACAAAAGAGACAGTAATTTAACACACGCTAAAACATAAGTAGTACAATTAAGTATATGCACACAATATAGAACACCAGTAATACTAACAAAAGTCCTAAGCTAAATTCAGCTAACTACTCTAACAATAAAAGCAACTAATAACTAAAACTACAATATTCATCAACAACGCTATTAACACTACACAATTATCTATAATACAAACAGCTATGCTAATAAAAATCTACCTAAATGCTATAACTAATTGCATACCTGACAATCGATGAAAATACTCTCTGCTATTCCTTCTCCAACTCGCTACGGGGGCGTGAACGAGACTGGGGCCGTTTATATACCTCAGGGCGGCAGGGCAACTGACTCAGCCATCACGGCTGCGCCAATGGAGGCGCCAGATTCAAAATTCAAATGTAATAAATACAGGTCGCCTGCAGATGGCGCCTCACTGACTGTTTTAGGCAGAAAGTTGATCTTTCAACTAATTTGCACTAAAGTGACAAAATTATGACCAGGATATGTACGCAACACAATTGGACACTCATTTATACCGTTTATCAGCAAAAAAAAATGTGGATTGAGGGTGAGTTGTCCTTAAAATAATGTTTTAAGACAAAAAAAAAAAAATGGAGGTGTTTTTAATAATTTTCTGACAATAACAGAGCTTTCTGGCCTTTACGCACAAAGTTAAATGGAATTATGACTAGGAAGAAAATTCAGACTGCAGGCCCACTGAAATTCTGCTGTTAGAGTTTCTGTTTATGAGTTTTGACTAGTTATTTTCAGCATATTTAGAAGCTCTCACAATTGAAAGATACAATTGCAGAGGAATTTTAATATACAGTGTGTATATTGGAGAAACATATAATATAATTTTCCCTTAAATGTGTAAATATGAATAGGTAAAGGTAAATAGGTGTGCCCTCCCTGATTTGGTTACAGCACAACAATGATCTATTGTTTGATCTACCTTTTCTTCTATGAACTCAATTTAATATTTCACTTTTCTGAAAGATAAACACAACAGCTTTTTGTATGACACTGACAGATGCAAAGCATTTAAAAATAAACATAAAATGAATATTCTGAGAACAGGTGCAAATTCTGAACTGACAACACAGAACAAATGTTACATCAGTTTCTTTCATTGCTGTAGGCTTTTAGCACGTCTTACATCTAACCTGCCTTCTTTGTTACCCACATCAGCTACACTTTGTAATTTACAAACATTTGTGTGGATCTGTTTTGACAAGCCACCCCCAAGAGACATTAACATCCAGATGTGTTTTATACAAACAGAATATAGAACATATTGTAGTGTTATGAATGTCAGACTCTACACAAGGATGTTATATTCTGCTTGATTAAATGCACTTTATGTTGATGGCATTTAGAAGAATGGCACCATGTATCTCTGACAATGCAGAGGCATCAAGCACTCTGTCACTGTCGACGTATAGACTAAACTCCAAGTAGTGTAACCTAGCAAGTGTTGCATTTGAATTACAGTAATATTATAATACTAATATGTTGCCTTTTCATCCCAGTAACTCGTAATTAATGATATATTACTAGGCTTTATACCTCTGTGTGGAAAAGACTGCTCACGCTCCCTTTGTTACTCATGGAATGCAGACATCAGGTCCCAGCGCCACGGCACAACAGCAGCTGTTGAGCTACTCTTCTCCAACTCATTACCAAAGCCCCACCTGTGACATCCACCTGGATACGCCATCAGCTCCAGTTTCCAGTGGAGGCACCTTAGCTAGAGAGTAAAATGCCCACTGGGCTGTCACCTGCAGGCAAGCGCATCCACCAAAACAAAACTGAATCCCCCTCCTTGAAACTTCCCCTAGTGGGAAGAGAACACGGATGTGATACAAAGCTGAGTTAGTCAGACCACTCTTGTCAGGGTTTTTAATCAAGAGTGTATATCCATTCAAACAATCAGCACTACTGCTCTCAGCCACCATGGGGCAGATAGCATTATGTGCATGCATAATATCGTCCATTATGTACGTACATATGACCTTTTGAGGTTTCCTAGGTAACACAAGGTGCTTCATAGAGTTGACAACACATGAAATAATGTGTAGATTATAGTTTCACAAAATTGAGACTCATATTACTGCAGCAGGTCCAACTACTGCAGGAGGCAGAATTTTCACTGGGATACAGACTTATGAAGGGATAAGATGAGGCAAGGAAGTGGCAGCAGTTATGCTAATGCTCTCATGGAAGTGTTAGTAACTAATTTTTATTTTTATAGTGCTTTTACAGACTATAGTCACAAAGCACTTTAGAATTGTTGTGGGCATCTGTCTCTCACTCCACACAGAGATGGGAGCAAGGTTGAGATGTTTCCATTGTTTATTACCACAAAAGCATAGACATGATTCAGTTGTGGACATCCCAACGTATTGTATGCTAATGAGTTTATTTTTGAGGGAGTATCTAAATACGGCAATTTACATGTTGCAGAGTGTGTTGTGCTTAATGACACTAATGCATCCAAATCAACCATTTCCATTCCAGTCTTTGGCTTATACAGGACAATTCACTTGTAGTCTTGATATGGGTGAATAGACAAGCATTTTTTTTTTTCAAGCATACCACACTTTAATATGCAGTGGGATACATCATCAATTTGCATTACAGCATATGGACCCATTAGTTATTCATTACTGTATGTGGATTGGTTACTTGCACGATAGAATCCAAACATGGATTGTATGTTACGTTAATTGCTATCATGCAGTCATTGACGTGCCAAACTCAACTACATGCTTAAAAGTCTTGCCATTGTGAGTGGGGTTGGGTGGGTGGTTTGAAAAAAATATCCTCTTATTGTTTTTGTCAAGGTGAATCAAAGGAAGTGCTACCTGGATTACAAGGAGTGTCTGTTCCTCTGTGAAGTTGTGGGGTCATTTTGTCTGAGAACCGATGAGTGCTGGAATGTCTCTTTGAACCCCATGGTCTAATATAAAGCTGTGGAAATGATTTTTCTCCTCTCTCCATCACAACAGCTATTTTCTTGGGCTCATTTCGTCTGCCGTATGAAGAGATCAGGGACATTGTGCTGGCGGTGGATGAGGAGCGGCTCAGCGAATCACTCATCCAGGTAAGACTGATGCTTCGGCAGCGTGGTGAGATCCCATTCAAAATCCTCAGGAGCTGTAAATACATGGCACTATTTTATGTCGACAAGTTAATTCTTCTTATATGTATATTTTACAACTCAAACCTCCATGTGCTAGAGAACAAATAGAAATTATGGTAAAACTGATGCCTTTTTAGTGGTTTGAGAATTAAGAACCAGTTAGATTTTTATTAAATTGTACTTCCACTTTTTGGTTCATAAATTAGATAGCTTTATTTGTCTTTGTTCATGGCGAGGATTATAAATTATGGTAATTCAATCATCAAACAATCTTAAATAAAATGTGTGAATGGAACAAACAGAAGGCCATTTCCCTCAAGACTGTTTGAAAGAAGACCTACTGGTTCTTTCTGCAGTTTTGTTTGATTAAAATAACACTAACTTTGGAAATTAGTTGCTTTTTCAGAATTGTGTATTATTTCAAAATTATCACAGTTACTATGTTTTTGTTTGTCTGTACAAATATATAGAATCCTGAATAATAACCATTGTCAAATAATGTAATCATATTTACGTCCTTACATGGAATATGTGGTTTATTAGGGTCAAAATTCAATACTTTCAACACTAATCAAGAATACAACCAGCTGTTTATTCATAGTCTGTGAGTGGCTGTGCTCGAGGTGAGGCTATCTCCCTTTCACCACACAGACCCCTGCTCTCCGGCTGGACGCTCTTGGCATGCTCTCCGAACCCACCTTCCTTTCCTTTTTCATTGTCTTTAGCTTTGATTGATGAGTTTCCCCAGTGTAGTCCTTTTCACTTTTGTTTGCCACACAAAGCATTATTTGAAATTGGTTTGTGCATGTAACCGATGGACTTAGCTCTGCTTTTGGGCATGAAATTGATTTTGATGAGACATTTTGTATTCAGGCATCCTTGCACTTTGATATATTTCATCGTTCTTGTGTGTAATTCGTCTGGGAATTGGGAACCTAGTCCAGATGCCTACTTTTAGAACTTTTAATTAAAAACAGTGGTAGTTAATGAATACAACTGTTACCAGCTGCGTGTAGTCTGCTATTAATTTCCCTCTAATTTTGCCAAAACGGTGCAACCTTTGTCAAAACAGTGCTCTGGGACTACCGTCCTTGGGCCATTTGTACCCTCTGAATGTATTATGTGTGCGCTGCTTAACTATTCTAACTCCTTTTCCAGGTGATTTATCAACAGTTGCACAGGTCTGTAACTTCTTCCCTGCTTAGATTTTGGGGAGTACTACGGGAACGAGGCAATGTATTTTTAGAAGTGACTATCCAGAGAGCTGCCCTAGGACTGTTATTTTGAGCTCTGATAACCTTTAATTGGCTGCTTGTCTGGCATGGTGCACGTTAAATTTACTCTGCATTGGATAGGGCTGGTTTGTGAGGGTTCTTTTCATTTTTCATGCCATCAAAATATATTAAAGTCTAAACTAGCTTATTACACACAGTTTTAAGCTTTCATAGGTGAACTTGGTAACTTCTTTGCCCGGACCATCCATCCATCCATCCATTTTCTTCCCCTTCGTCCATTTCCGGGTCGAGGGGTGGCAGTCAGAGCTGCACCCAGTACACAGAGCACCAGCCCCTCACTGATCCTCCTGCAGGTGGTGAGTCCACAGGAGCTGAAAGTTTCCAGCGAGGGCTTTGGGCAAAGTGGGGTTAAGTGTCTTGCCCAAGGACACAACGACAGCAGTCATCAGTGTGAGTTGGGAAGTAGTTCTCGTGGTGGATTTGAACCTACAACCTTCAGGTCCAAAGGCCGATGCTCTACCAACTGAGCTACTGTCCCCGGATCACTGCTAAAAATGGATCAAGTATGATAGTTTACAGTTGACATCAAGTATTTTAATGGAACGCAATTTAAACAAACGTAACTAAAAATCGGCTGCTGGATTGGTCTCTACTTAAACTTATACTTGTATGTACGCCAGTGCATTTATTCTCTCGTCTGTCTCCAACATTAGGGTGCTGTACTGTTCAATAACCAGCAGAGAGAGATCACTCTTTTACAGTAGGTATCTTTGCATATATCCACCAAATTTATGGAGTGTACATTTGTTTGAAAAGAGCAAAGGAAACAGGTTGTGGTTTATTGATTACAGCTTTAAAAAAAAAATGTTTTTTTTCTTTTTAATATTTTAATAGTTTTTTGAAACTCCCATGAGGAATTTAAGGAGACAATTTCACACCAGAACACTAAGTTCTTCCCATGACGTGGTGTAAAAAATAAATAAAAAATAACAATTATTATGTGGAACTTTGAACTTGAATCCATCAGACGTCTTTCTTTTCGTGATTTGTTTCAATTTTGATATTAAATAATACAATAAAGCCATATGTCTGAAAAAGATTCTCGCTATATCTTCTGACACATATCATGTGACCAAGTAACATCCATATAAACCCAAAGTTAAAAATATATAGCAGAACACCTCAGGGAAATTAGAGTTTCATTCCACAGCTGTCTGTATGTGTGACAAAATACCAAAATTTTAAGTTTGAAAATTACACTTTCTTCCCCATCACTCTGGGGTTTCAGTGTGTAATAAGTATAGAGGAGCACAATAAGGCAGCTAACAAAAATGAGAGCTCAACAAGCCTCTGGAGGGCTGGTGTGCAAGTCAGCTTAAGCGTCTGGGAGCTAAGCTAATGTCAGAGTGTCCGGAGGGAGGCCCGTGCTCACTTATCGCTGCAGAAGGCGGAACACATCTGGCGAGTGGGCTACAACTGCGCTGCTGCTTAAATAACGATTTGAAGGCTAATGTAATGTCTGCACTGGACAATGGGGAAATAGTCTTACTTAAATGTTTATTAGCTGTCATCAATAAGTGCATGTTTTTTTCATATTGTGTCATAAACATATTGTTATTTAGTCATTGTAAAGATAATACACATAATAATGTCAGCGCACATTTTGTTTGCTTCAAGTCTAATCCATTAAGCTGTGCGAAGAAAGAAATATTTTCCAAAACATATATAAACCAAAACATATTAAATGTTTTGGTTTAGTTAAATATAGTTGCTGATGTGGTCAAAATTATTATACAGGTTTGGGGACAATAAAATAGGCATTGAGATTGAAAAGATTGAACTTATGTATTGGAAATGGCCAGAAACAAATTGAATGAAATATATACAACTGCTAATACAAAAAACAGGACTGCACAATTTATTGAGAAATATGTTTTTTAATCTCTTTATCTATTTATTGATTCTAATTTATTTATTCAAATCATGCATAGTCAGGTTTTTCCTTCACTTGCTACCTTAACCACTCACCCCCAAAGGGGCTGCTTTGCCTTTTGTGACAAGCTCGCAAACTCTTGTGGCTGGAAAGAATAGATACGTGGTAAAAATGAGAGGAGTGAACAACGTGTTCCTAAAAACACTGCAGTTTCAACATTTGGGAGTACTTTGGCTTCAGGAGAGACAAAGTGTTATAGAAGCAGACACTGAGAGGAAAAACAGGAGAGCTGAAAACACAAACGATCCCTACAGGTGAAGAGGTCTCTCTGGTGATCATAACATGAATAGAGAGGGCTTTACAGTTCATATCGTCATAAAATGAGAAGATTGACACAAACTTATTTATTCTACATGTACTTATGATGCAAATACTTACTATATCAATTTTCAAAATCAAGCATCGTGTCTCAGACCAAGATTGCTCAGAAATCATTGACACGTTTGTGGGATCTCTGCTCCGTGAAACAGTGTGGAGAATGAATAATACAGTAATTACTTATCACCCACAATGAGTGTGTTGATTAATTGCCACAATTGTTGAATTATGCACAAAAAAGTCTTAGTTCAGCCATTGCCAGCTCTAATATGCAATAAACCATGTGCGAAAAAGCAAAACATGAATATCAGTTTTAGTGTGCAAGTACTAAACCACATCTGCAGTTAATTAACTATTTTATTGCAGGGTTCATAACATAATTACAATGAATAAAATAGCGTTGAGCTGATTGTGTAAATGATAATGGTACAATTTGGAACACAGCGCTCGCTGCAGCCATGGGCGGAGATGCAGTCCGTCCGGGTTGTGGCGGGGGAGCGACAGAGACTGCATGCTGCTTGACACTGGCCTAAGCGTGGGCTCCATCTGCACAGCTCTCATCTATGCTCATTATGCTGATTAATCACTCTACACCTCCCACTTTGAGCCACACGCCAATCACAATTTATCTATAATGACAAGCTAGCGCCTAGGCACAGCTGCATGGACAGAATGTACATGTTCTTAAAGTGAAAGTCTTGTATTTGGTCATTTTCAGTTGATAGTTCTGTTACATAGTGACAATATATGACACCAACAAGACATAATATACATTTTGTATGTTCAATTTCTCAATAGAAAATAGAGGTTGTTGGGGACTCAAACTTTCATGAATCGCTCTTTAGACTGCTGAGTGTATAACATATATTAAATTCCCTGTATCTGCACATCCTAATTGTGTAGCAAATGTAATGAATTGTAAAGTTTTTCTTTATCGCTATCCTTATAAACATATCTTTAAGAAATATTGTGTAATATATGTGACAGTCATGAGACTCGCTGAGTGTTGCACTTTTAAACTTGGACCAAGATCAGTGATTTTTTAAACTGTCTTTCAAAAATCTCTCAGGCAAACAGTCAACACCAATAAAGCCAGAAAAGAAGCGACATGCGCCCACAATGCATCTTAAATTACAAACTCCATCTTATCATCTCCCCAGTTGGCGGACAAGTCTAATGCAATGATTTGTCAGCACAACGTGGCAGTTGTGTCGGCCTTGAAGTACCCATCCAATGTTTCACCATGGCACCATGGATAGATGGGTCTTGATTGGTCGTTCTTATTCTGCATTAGAGGCCATCAGCGCCTTCAAAATGATTTACACATGCCTGAATGCTGGCAGACAGACATGGCCTTGTCTATTCATCCACCTCCCCATACCAATCCAAGCAATTTCCTCTCTTGTACCTATTGCTTATGCATGTGTCGTGTAAATGCAAATTTATTTTGGATGTTTTCATAATCCTCCATAACATCATGGATCAAAGTGCCACTCTAATGTGTTTTTCCAAATCACATTTGTATTAATTTGTCTAGTTGTGTTTTATTCATGGATAATGCTATTCTTTATATATAATGCCAAAAACATGAACCAGTCATGAACAATTTTAAACTGTGACAAGACTTGCATTTAAAAAGCGTGACAGATCCATTTGTTTCTACTTTTGGCCTGGTGTAAAGAGAAGAGTTACAAAACCTTGTTTTCATGGCACTGAGTCAGACGTGTGTCCAGAATAGTAGCGGGCACCTTGTTGTAATGCTTGGGTTTGGCACTAAAGTATTCCGAGACCCCTCCAGTGCTGTTTTGGAATTTCAGAGTGCTGTTGACCTTGTTGTTGCACACTTAAGCTAGCTCCCCGAGAACAATTTGGTTTTTGCCACAGGGACAAGCCTTAACTAGAATAATGATGGCATTTGGCCCCATCGATTCAGGCAAGAAGACATTGAGGAGGCCACAGTATTTAGTCACTGTACTATTTTAGATTTGTATTAATTAAGGATGCACCGATTGTGAAATTTTGGGCCGATACCAATGTTTAACATAACAACTTGGCCGACGTTTTGTTAATTATATGTATGTTGGTTTTTTTTGTCGTTTTCCGTTTTTCTTCAGCTTGCAAGCAATCACTGTACACCGCCTCATACTTGCCTCTCAAATGTCCAATGAGATTTTGTTGTAGTAAATAATTTTCTAGCAGTCCCCTCTCTTAAATCTCTCTGGAAGACATATTGAAAATAGCATGACGCTGATATTTCTCTGATACCGCAAAATATTGCCACGCGACTGCTGCCATCTTCTTTGTTTCTATTACTAAGGAAAGTTCGTGAACGCCCTCTTTGCACGCGCCTTGCATCGGCGAATGTCATTTTTTATTTGTCAATGCCCGGAGGTAGTTAGCAAGGTAAACATTGGCTGATAGTGATGTTCAGCCGATGCATTGGTGCTTCCCTAGTAGTATTACTATTGCATAAGCCCAAGAATGCTATCTATATGGTGAATTGAGCATTACCATTTTGAACCACTTTGCACCCAAATTCAATGGCCAAAGATATCCAAAAACTTATTTTGATTCATATTTTTTGTAGACTGGTATATATTTATGTTTTTAGACTTAAGGTATAAAACAAATACAGTGTTTTACATGTATTGACATGGTTTTTCCAAAAAAAATATTTACTAAAATGCAATGTCTTTCAATGTGAATAATTACAAAATCTGTTTTGAGATGTCTTTATTGTAACATTTTCCATTCAGTATTTTCTCAAATTTCTTCAAGTTGTTCTTTACACTGAAGACAGATAATAGTTTGTGCATTGAGTTAGTTTAACATTCTTAGATGCTATGCAGTCCTGCCTTTAGTCTGTCTTTTCAAAGACTGCATTTGTTGTTATATTGTTCTTGTTTTAGATAATTTTCTCTCCAACTCAGGAGAGCCATGTTACCCATTGCCTGAAATTGTCTGTTTCATGGTACGATGACGGGATCTCTGAGCCTGGCCTCTTCCATCTACACCTGCGGACTGCCCCGCCCGACCCGCCTGGGAGTGCTTCGGTCCTGCACCGGACCTGTCCACGTTCAGCGTCCACTGGTCCACGTTCTGTAGCTAGCTTAGGTCCTAGATCATTAGTCTGTCCGTCCGGAGGAGCGGATCCCTTTCTCATATGGGTCTCCCTCCCTGTGGGTTTCCCTAGTTCTCCTCCGAGGTTTCTCACTTTTTCCCACTGGGTTTTTTAAGAGTTTTTCCTTGTCGATGCAGGAGGGTCTTGTTGGACAGTTAGTGTCCAACAGAAAGGATTGGTGATGATCAGGACACTTTAGCATTCTACAACATGTATGGACATTTTCTTCTGTGTGTGCTTTATACTGTATTCTTCATGTGTTTTAACTGTTGATTCTCTGACCTGTGTTGGTGATTTCAATGGTTTTGTTAAGTCCTCTGAGATGACTTCTGTTGTGACCTAGGGCTATACAAGAATAAATTGTATTGTATTGTATTGTGTATTGTATTGAAATCAGTTAGTCATCACTTACATTTTTTGCACGCCCACTTTTTGGTGTGTGGTAAGCCCGTGATGTGGCCCCGGGGGCTTGTTTTTCAGAATATCAGAGTGGTTTCTTAATGTTTAATATCTGCCAATGTATTTTATATTACCCCATCTTCCTTTCAAACAGAAAGGCTAATGACTTGCACCACACTGCTGCTATTCATTTGTAATTACTATTGCCCTATATTGTGTGCTAATACAGTGCAAGGATTTCAGAAATGTTTCATAAGCAAATAGACGCAGCATGTTTTAAGGAGAATGCTTGACATACTGGATTTTAAATAAGAAGTACATTGATACTAGTGGATTAATATGCACTTGAGTTCCCTTGCCTAAGTTACTTGAGTGCATTATGAAATTGGTGTCAAGGTTAGTAGGGACAAAATCTGAGAACAACATTTTACGACAGGAACTGTTAAATGGATAGTAGATTATCAATTGCTGTCATCTGGTTTACATACAGTAACTTTTCAACTATACTTTGTTCTTAATCACTTCACAGTATTGTGGCCTATGTTACCAAAATAATTAGAAAACACCTTATTTAAATTATTACAATAACATAGTTATTTATATACACTCGAATATGTGCTCATCACCTTTGTTCAACACCCTTGTGAGCAATGTACACAGTGACATTTAAATAATTGTAATTGTAGTTCACAATGGCCACATAGGATCATGCCACAGCCTGACAGGATCCTCTCAGTTTCAGAGATCACCTCGCCATGGCAACAACCTTTCCGCCAGGTCTCATAGGACTTTTCCCAAGGAACCTAGCTTGTTATTATTGTTTATCTCTCTTGTCAATCACCACAGGGCTCATCCATATGCATGTGGCCATCATTACACCGGCTATAGCCCATTGGCTGGAGGGGGTTCCTACCAGCGGCCAGGCCAGCCTTTGTTCTGCGATGTAACAACAGGTGATTGCAGCCGGCTGGCACAGTTTTGGGCATCATTTGCATGCCGCTAAAGTGCACATATGGGGCAAGGCGATAAGTATTGGCCTGTTGGATTAGAGCTTAAGCGAGAAACGGGGATTCCCTTTGGGCTTAATTGTGGTTTATTTTGGCAGCACATAACTCTCTGCTGCATCAAATGGTAATTCAACAATGGAATGTAAAATGTATTATGCTGATTTAGTGGCTGGGAGACGGAAAAAGGAAAAGTTTTGAAGCTAGGGCAAAAAGGCTGCAGAGACTTAGAATGGCTTGGCATGGTGCAATATCAAATAGACTTCAGAAATGGATGGCAAGTACCCTAGGTAGAACATGCACTTTTCAGTGATGATCATCACACTGTTGCATTTCTGCCAAAGGGGCCCGTCCAGGTACGTCCTAAGGTTGCATATTGATTAAAAGTCTCCAGGCTCTACATACGTGCAGGGAGAATAACAGTTACATTTTGATTAGGTGTAGTCTTTGGTATGGCTTCTCCTCCGGCACCCTGGTTGCTGTGTTGCTTAAGCTAGTAAGTGAAAAAAAATCTGTTTTTTTCTTTCTCCAATTGTGTGTCTTTGTTTTGTGTGACAGATGGCACAACATCAGCAAGGCACTATCAGACAGAATTCGGCACAACAAAATTCATCTATTGCTTTTGGATTCTTATTTTCTATGTGCTTGGCAGCCCTATTATAATCATACAGAGTATTAAAATGGCAGCAAAGAACTTTGTGACTGACTCATATTTACTATTGGGAGATAGCGTTTAGTAAGATCAAGGCAAAAGGTCATCCCCTTTGGAATTTATTTTGTACAGAGAGGGAATGGACTCTTCATCCTCATGAATTTGATTGATGCCTTTTGGTCCGCCTGCTTTGATAAGTATTAGCGATTGGAGTTTAACTGGCTGATGACTGATATCTATGGCCAGTTTTAAATGGCCACTTTCAAAGGTTTTTTAAGGCACATGGGGTCAGGGTCATGCTAATGTGCTTATTAGCAATTAGGACATTTTAATTTATTTTTGTATATTCATGCAAATATTTTTTTTGGAGTATAGCTCATCTTTTGAATAGAGATTTTTAGAACAAATTATTATTGAACATGAGCAATTTGGCCATTCTTGTTTGGTAGTTTATTTTTTCTCAACAGTTACGCTGGGATTGAAACAGTGCTGCTTATAATTATTACCAATTACAAGTTGGGATTATTGTTTAGAGTTAAACAAAATGTGTGATTTGGCAGGAAAGAAAGAAAGCTTTGACCAATAGCTGAAAAAAAAAAACACATTCATCCCAATATACTGTATACCGGCATATCTGTCAATCCGTCTTCTTCAATGTGTTCAAATTAAACATATTTTAGCCGGAAATACGACGTCAGTGGCAAATTATGTATTGAAACTGCAGAATTCTCAAATTATTAAGCAACATGAAACAGAGTGGACCTTGAATGCAAGTCAATACTGGGGCTGCTTTTTTATATAACCTTTGTTTATAGAGCTATTGAGAAGTTGACTCAAAAGATGCTTCACAATTAATTACACTTCAGCTTCATTTGACAGCTTAACATTCAGAAAACATGTTTGTACGGACACACATACATGCACATGTGTTACTATCACTCCCCGTCCCCGATCTATGTGTGTGAGTTAGGGCCTTTCTGCTCTGTTCAATATATGTTCCTGCATGAGGGGGAAAGAGATGCAGAGTGATGCCAAGAAAATGTTTACCGACTTCAAATGTGCAACCTTTATAACTTATGCAAGGCTGGTTGAAGCAGGCTGAAAGACCAGAGGCCAGAAAATGGAAATTAAGTTGGAATAAATAGGTGGAAAAAACCTTATTGCAATAGTTTCCATTTACCTCAAACATATCCTCCTGTTGTTGTCTGTATTTTTTTTTTACTTTTGCTTAAGATAAAAGTGCTCAGGTGTTGCATATTTTTTCTTATTTATTTTTGAAGCTGCTGTATTTCCTGCTCACAGACACATTTAATGTCACACTTAGTCTGTCAGGTTGGCCAACCCCAAACTTGAGATTAATCCCTCCCTCCTCTGCCTTTCACTCACTCTGCAGCCCTGTTTCTTATTTTGTTTAATGCGATTTTAGAATCTGTCACACTCGGTTTGTTGCTTGTCATTCTGACACAGTCAGAGAGTCGAAATTTGAGATGTTTGTGTGCGTCTGCAAAGTGTATATTGTGTAATACCACAAAGATCAGTGTCTGATGCAATTTGTTTAGCAACTCTACCAGACAGATAATATTATCCCTATGTTTTCAATTTTAATAACAATACAAACCTCCACCACCAATAGTTTTGGAAAGTAACTCTCTTAACTACCCAAGAACTATCAAAAAGTCTTCACTGATTTTCTAGGAGACAGGTCGGGAGTATGTTGCTATTTCATGGCCGAGAGATGGAACTCTTATTTCACCTTGGAGAGACCCATGAGGAAAACGCATTAGACTTATTAGATTTAAGCATGTTTATTGATTGAGCATGTTTGGCGCCCTAGGCCCGGGCGGGATGCTGTTGAGCACGGCGCTTGCTCGCGTGCATGATCCCCAAAAGCGGGCCTGCGATTGGGATAGCAGGACGTACTGCGCGGGCCTGAGAGCATGAGCGAGCTGAGAACATGCGCGCACGCGCATGTTCAGCCAGCCGCCGTAGCAGGGGAATCTTTGAGCGAGCTGAGAACATGCGCGCACGCGCATGTTCAGCCAGCCGCCGTAGCAGGGGAATCTTTGAGCGAGCTGAGAACATGCGCGCACGCGCATGTTCAGCCAGCCGCCGTAGCAGGGGAATCTTTGAGCGAGCTGAGAACATGCGCGCACGCGCATGTTCAGCCAGCCGCCGTAGCAGGGGAATCTTTGAGCGAACTGAGAACATGCGCGCACGCGCATGT